AAAATAGATTAGCATCTGTAAATTTTTTATGTATTTACATTATAACTTACTTTTTAAAAACTTTCCAGTGTATTTATTAATAAATCTATGCATGTAAGTGAACCTGTAGAATTCAGATCAGCGTATTTTCAATTCAAAACATGAGAAGCAGTTACAATATGTTGTGAAATCCATGAAAATGTAGTTGTTATAATGTGCCTTTATGTAGTTGATTGTAGGAAACAATGGAGAAAGTAAGGAAACATAAGTTAGTGGTTAAAGGAGGTTTTTAAAAAATCCATTCTTAGAAGTGCATGGAAATCTTAAGGAATCAGTTGCAAATCCTTCCTTTCTTTAATTTTTCGATTTTGGAGATTTATCTATTATAAGTTTTTGATTTTATGATATGTTTCTGTTTCTATGTAAAAATGCAGTTTATTACATGAAAATTGATAGTGTATGCCTTAGTTTTGTTGTTTGTCATAAATGAATTAAAGCTTTAAATCCTTATGCGTATCAGAGAAAACATCTTTTATTTTAAAATTTTTTGAATATTAACATTCTTACTCGTTTTTTCTTTTAGTGTTTTTATTTATTAATAGTAACACAATGTTAGATGCTGGACTAAAACATTAACCTCCTTGGTGGAAAGCATTTTTTGATGAAATTTAATAGAATGTTAGCTTGAGGAAAACATCTTGTCTATTTATATGTAAGATGTTTAATACAGCCAGTATTCTAGGTAGAAGGCACCAATGCAGGATTTCTCAAATAGCTTAGGGCCTTATCAACTCTAAATCAATCTGGCTGTGGAAGGCACCTTTGGTGTCCTTTCATATGATATTTGCAATCGGAAAGCAATTTGTTTAAATAATTTTTTTTAATAGATTTTATTAAGGTTAGTGCCATAGGTAAATGCTCATGTAGTTTGTTCTGTTATTCATTATTGACAATGTAAGGAAATTATTAGAGGTGCTAATGCAATAAGAATCAGCATGATTTTTATAAAATTCTTGCTGCATTAATATCCCTGATAATTGTTATTTGGCATGTTATTTAAACTCGAATGTAAGGAAATATTTTAATGTCCTCTTCTTCAGTATACAGAAATATTCTGTATATCTGAAGTCAGTCCTATTATGTACTGATTCCCTTATTTCCATTAAAAAAAAAAGTATTATATGTAAAAGAACTATATTTACAAATGCCTGGCTTTTGGCACTTAAGTCATCAGCCATCTTGTCTCCCACTACTTCAGGATTACAAAATTAAAACCATTATGTCCACATGTTTAAATATTTTCTGACTCATTGAAGAATCTGTTGAATTGAAAAATCTGTTTAAAAAAAAAAAAAAAAAAAAAATGGAAAATCATGTTTTGAAAGACAGAGTGATGCTACAGTCGTAGTGAAAGGAGTATCTGGAATAGAATGTTCCTTTTCTGGAAGACATTGCCTTTCCCTTAGCTTATAAATCTGAATCGTGAATCTTGTGAAGTTCCATATTTATTAGTCTGTTAGTAGAATAAAAGGCCATTAAATTTCTGGATTTCTGAAGCATAGAAATTTCTTTCTTTGTCTGAAAAGCTGCACTATCATTTCTTTGTTCTCTACAGTGAGCCAATACCCACTGTAATGCTATAAAGTCTATATAAGATAATTCAGGTGTCAGCATTCCACCAGTCCACCATGGACCACCATGGTCTTAGTGCACCATGGACCAAGCAGCAAAATTGCTGAACACTAATAATTTGGTCTAGGTTCAAATTTAGGTGAAAGAACTGGCTGCATAGTTTGTAGTTTTCCCAATGGACAACATGAATGTAAGAAAATTTTTCTTGCAAAGCTCGGCAAAAAGGCTTGCTTTTGCTTAGAGAGATACCCCTTAGCTGCTGTGCCATAATCAGCACTCAAATCTGTATTTAGATACACAATTTCTGTTACTTGAAGAACTTGAAGGAGATTATGAGGGGATGATGGCTTTGGCAAAGAAAATCTTGCACTAGTAAATGAATTGCTTTCAGTTCTGTAATTTCTATACAAATTTCTCTTAATTCACCATAAAAAATACTGCACTGACTGCTTTATGAAAGAGAAAAAGTTTGCTGTGTAAATGTCAGCTCTAGTGTCAAATAATGTGCTTAATTGAAGCATCAAAAAATAATGTGATTACACTATATCCTTGGCAAAATGGCTTTCAGTTATTTCGAGTGCAATTGAATGGGTTGCAGTGCAATTGAATGGGAATTACATTTCCCTGAAAATAATTTGTTGACCAGAATTAATCTTTGTTTATAAATATCACCTTTTTTTTTAAAACATTTCCATGCTATGTGTCTATAATGTATGTTCATTATCTTATAAAATTTTAACATTGTAAGAAAAAGATAATTTCCTATTTATATATACTCTTTTGTGCCATCTATGTCATTGTTTTCACAGCAAATCATGTAATACTTTGTCTTAATCACTGAAATTTTTTCATTTGCTTTTGTGACAAAAGCATTCAGAATTTTATATACATATAAATGTAAGATAAAAAATATGCAGATCAAAATTATAATTTAAATTAGCAATAGCCCCTTAATTTCTCATTTTTAATTTGGGTATTCCCCCCCTTCTAAGAATAGTAATAACTATTTCTGGACTGCCTCATTTCTAGACCAATCCATATCATATGACTTAATAACTAATTCAGAACTTAGACCAAAATTTTTTTCTTAATACGCTGCCATATTGGATAACTGTGCACTTTTGCTTCTACTTCTGTTCTCACTAAAATGCTGATTCACTGCTTTTCCTGTCACAACAGTATTAAAAATGTAAATGATTTTAAAAGTCGCAATTAGAGTGCCAAGTGAATTGTGGCTACAAATGTTAATTGAAATAAAGATAAATATATAATGTTCCTCAGCTACCAAGTTTACTCTTCATTACGGATTCAACATTTTACATTTATATACAGTACAACATTATATACAGTACAACATTATATATACAGTACAGCACAAAGTCCGTAATCTGGATTCGTCAGGACTTTGTTGATTCCGGATTATAGATCATCAATTTAAATCTGCTAAGATGGCATGCAAAAATTATACAATTAAAAATATGAAACCTTAATTTATGAAATAAAGAGCAATTATGGCTAAAGGGTATCAAAATTTACAACAAAAAAAAAAGCTTAATATTTATTTGTTTACTTTATTAAACATTTCTTTCAATGTAAGTTGTTTAAGTTGTTTCTGCTAATACTTTCTCTTTAATTCTATAAGCAGACATAATTTCTTGTTCAGTTACAAAGTTCTACTGTTCAAGTCCTGTAATTGCTGTGTTGAGAATACTGACTAACTTGTCAATCGAAATTTTTTCGTTTTCGTTTCGTCTTTGTCACTTTCTTCCCTATTGGAAGCGCGCATGTGTAAGTTTGTGGCTTTGAGGTCGTATTATAGATCATTCCGTATAATGGACGTCCAGATTACAGACTTTGTACTGTATTAACATACTATAATATATATTACATATTTGTATTTTTCTGTAAACAGTTGCGAATGTCTAATCTATTGTGAGATTTTTTAAAGGATTTAGTGGATAAGAAATTTAAATTATAATAATATCACAAGTTTTAATTACATTCCGTTTGCATTTTTGTTTTTTATTTTCTGGTTTATTGCCAGAAATTATATTTTTGTATGGTATCTTTTTTCTACTCTTCTATGCAATTTTCTTATGTTTATATTTGTGTTTTCCAACAGAAGTCTATAGTCTTCAAGGTTAAAAACTACAATTTTATACACAGGGTGTTTCATATTAAATGGAACAAAAAGGAAGTATACTTGTGAATGCTGTAATTACTTTATTTTGATAGAGACTTACAGTGAAACTATCAAATTTATATTGAAACTATAGTTATGCAAGTTTCTATAGCTGTTCTCTGTGTGCATCTCCGGTGAAAAGGCACATATCTATGTGTTTTTCTAGTTCCTTCTACACCTGCAATAGAATATCCTTTCTTAATCATTCAAGAACATTAGTTACCCGCTGCTTCGGTTGCCGTAAGTCCTGCGGGACTGAAGGAATGAATATTTTGTGTTTAACAAAACTCCACAGAAAAAACACCACAAGGAGTTAGATCTGAGGATTTCGGTGGCCAACAAAGCAGTGGCATGCCGTTTGACCCGCCACAGCTAATCCAGCAATGATGTAGATTATCATTAAGGTACTGGCGTACGTTTTTATGCCAATGTGGAACACTGTCTGGCTGCAGAATGAATCCGGGAACCACTTCCTCCAACTAAGAAAACAATACTCTGATGGCATATCTTGGTAATTGCATCAATGAATCAATTTTTACATGCAGAAAAAAGGATCCAAAACACAACTGTTGGAAATGTTCACCTTTGGAGAATCACAATTTCATTATATTACACTGTGTGGATTTTCCTCGCTGCAAAATCGTAAATTATGGCAAACATTTCCAGAAATGTTTTCATCCGTAATCAGAAGTCTGTTTGCAAAACCACACATGTGTAACACATGCCACACCAGTCCAACCACTTCAGTTTTGACTGGTTTTCTTACTCAAGCAGCCATGTCCTGAAACTGCTTCATCCGTCGTTTGATGCTGTAATAATGAGTTTCTTTACGAATCTTCATACAAAAATATCTGAATGATGGTAAATGATTTAGTTTTGACATATTTCAAAGCACAGTACTATTTCTCCTGCATAGATGGTGCCATTTTAGTAATAGTGCCTCTAGCAGTGATTTCTTAATTGCGAGATTTTTCTCTGTTACCAAATAAAACTTGTATAATTGTATTTCTAGAATTAATTCGTTTTGGCTTAATAAATCAATTACAGAATTTGTAGTGCTATTTTTATTGTCCTATTCAATATGAAACACACTGCATAATTATATTTAATGGGAGAATGTTTTAAATTATTATTTTAACTGCATAAAACGATAAACAAAATATGTTTTTTATTCTTTACACTTATTCAGTAATTTCTCAATTTTTAGGAATGCATCCTAAATGTAATAAGTACTTTTAAAGTGCTTCACAGTCTGATCAAAGAAAATTTCAGCTCATGAAGTCTTTGCCAGTGACTAGCTCTTTAATGAATACAAAATTTCTGATGAATGTTCATCCTTGAGAATGCAGTGGTATGTATTAAGGTATTATTGTAGGGCATTCTCTTTGCATAATAATTTTAAATAATCAAACTTGTTCAGAAAATAAGAATGTTTTGTTGTCCTATTTAGAATAAAAGGCTAAAATACTGTTTTAAAAAATATGTGATGTCCTTAACATGTTAGATAATCACAGTTGACCATATAAGCAGTTAAAGCAATGGTATTGATTAAATCATATATTTACCCCTTCAGTGGTTGCAAGATTAAGCAGTTCTTTTTTTCACCAATTATGCACAATATCCATCAGTTGTAAATTTCTGATGGGAGCTGTGCTTGTTTGCGCTCTCTGTGTTGCATAGCTGGAATGGGAGCTGAGTTCATTCATGCTGATTAAAAAGTTAAAAGGTAGAGCAAAACCGTTTTTATGTAATTTAAAATCTAAGTTGTTTATATGAATTTTCAGCAAAACTCAGCTAACCTTTTTTCATGTGTAGTTATAATTTTAAGTATAATTTGCCATGAAAGTGATATACTGTATGATAGTATATTGTTCTTATGTATAGAAAATAGTGAGCAATTGTATTTAGTAGACAAATGTACTTAGTTACTTGGATTAAACTCAATTTTTTTGGCAATGAAATAATTTTTTTATTGTATTAAGTGGCTATACTACTGTAATTCGCTCCTCGGTTGTGTGGGTATTTTTTTACTTATTTTTGTATTATATTATTTCCAGAAATCTTTCAAATAGTGAAAATTGTTTTTTAAAAATGGTATTTCAGTTCATTTTAATTGACTGGGAAAATGTATTCTTAATAATTCTGATTATTTGCTATTTGGTCTGGGGCAAAATGCAAGTTATTTGAAGGAGGGAAAAATATTAACTGCATTAAGTGTTGCAATTTTGAAATGTGAAATGGAGAAAGCAATTGTATATCCATAATATTCAAACTATTTGTGAATGTAGAAATTTTTTTTTAATACTGGAAACCACCTGTTTGGCTGAGGGGCCTAGCTAGAGTTTTCAGTACCCAAGGACAATTGAAAGTTTCATGCCTCCTCCTGTTTGCCAAAATGAAATAAGAAACATCAGTTTTATGCCCCCTAGATGCTGCACCTGGGACCAGATATATCCTTTGTCTCCCTAGGAATGCCACTGGTCAGGTCTTCAAGTTATGGCTGCTTACTAATGTGTGAGAAATGCTGTTGCTTTTCATTGTTAATGAAATTGTGTTAAACATTTATGGAAAGCCTTTATTAAAACCAGGTGCATATTTCAGAACATTTCATTAACCACTCATAGCATATAACTACTTCAGAGTTTGTACCTGTAATAAATACATATTTGGGCTAATTGAATATTAGCATTTAATGGCTTACTGATTGTTCACTATTATTAAGCACATAATGCCATTTGATGGCATATTTCCATTCAAGAATAAATTTGTATCTGAGCCACCTGTAAATATCAAAGTCATCTGTGGTGCTTCAGTGTTTGCCTTCTTCCATAGTTTTTCGAATGCACAGCATTTCAGAAGACACTTTAGTTACTTTACAGCACACTTTATACAAAAAGATCCTCACTGCTCATAAAGACATACAATTCTATGACCGGCTTTCACAGTCTCATTACCAGTTTGCAGTCACTTGGCAATTCTTAGCACCTGCCAGTTCTGAGTTTGATGATGTTGAAGTTCTATAATCTAGATACACCACATTCCTCCCCTTCCCCTTTATCATAAGTTCAGTCTAGTTGGGCATTGTCGAATTCTGATGGACCTGGTAATGAATCAGTTGCCAAAATTAATTTTGGATTACATTGAATCAAAACTTTTTGCAAACACAATTCTTTTTTAATATTTAGAAAAGCCTCCTGACAAACCCTCGTGCAAACCCATTTTGAATCTTTCTTAGTTAATTGGTATAAGGGATTTGGTACTTTTCCATTTCACCGGCTCAAATCTCGCCAAGCAGACTTTATTGACGAAAACACATAGTATACACATAAAAATTGTTGACAAATGTTAGTTCTAAGATTTTTTTTTATTTTGAAGGTGTAAGCATTTTAATGTCGTTTAAAATTTTGTAGAAAAGCCAATAAATAAAGATGGTAAATTTGTAAAAAGTCATTAATTTAAGAATTTACTATCCTTTCATCGTACAACATCCTGATTCGTCGGTTCACATCATGTCACCCCTAGTGATCTCATCTTACGTAAACTACGCTACCAAAATTCTAATTTTCTCAGTAATTATCTACATTAATTTCAAGTTAACTCTTAATTTGGAATACAAGTTTAAATGCCAGAATTATTTCAATTCGTACGAATAGCTTACTCAGAAATTTTGTAAAACCCCAGTATTTTACTTCGCTAGTGCATTCTTATTAGAATTGATGAATTTAACTCTTTGACTTTGCCTTTTCTATATATTCGCCATCGGGTGAGCAGTGTGACTGCATCCTGACTGACTGAATTACTGCCCGTGAATGTCCTTAGGGCATAAAATTGAACTATGTGGTAAAAATTCTATGTAATTGTGCTCAATCTGATAAGAAATGGCTGTGACTTGTTTTGAAAATGTAAATGTTGAAGTAAAAGGTTATCAGTGAGGGTATTTCGTTTGACATCAGTTGTACCATTACTGGGCCCACCAGCGGCCGAGCGGTAAAGACACTGAACATTGGTAGTTCGGTCCGAGGTTCGAACCCCACGAACGGGCTGGCTGCATGGGCGTTTTCATGGTTTTCCCCATTTGTAACGTATATACGAGCCAGTTTCCCTTAGAAAGTCCTCCACGAAGACATTCCTCCCTTTAGGCAGATAACCCTTGTGTACTTTGCCATAATTGAATAATCCAATCCAAAGTACCATTACTGGCGACTTTATCACTTGCACCGTCAAAACGGAAAAGTACCGGGATTTGCAATTGTCACTAAATTTGGTCAAAATCAACTAACCCCAAAAACTTTGAATTTCCTGGACATTTCTGGGTCTTGGGCGCTTTAGCAATTGCTGATATTTTTTCATTGATTTTATGTAAACCATTAGCATCAATTTTATGTCCTAAAAATTGTATCTCATCTTGAACAAAATAAGTAGTTTTCTCCAAATTTTAGTCCATGCGTTTTACATTTTTTGAAGAAATTTTTTATGTTTAAATGCACATCATCATCAGACCCTGTTATTTGTGCATCATCCAAGAAGGCTTCACACGCTTTCATTCCTTGGAATAATCTGTCAATGTAATGTTGCCAGATTGCCATTGCTGCATTTAGCCCAAACATTAATCTCTTGCACTTAATATAATCCTTTTTTGTGTGTTTATTGTTAGCAATTTTTGAGACTCTGGGTGTACTTTCATTTGTAAGTAAGCATTCTTAAAATCAGTTTTAGAAAAATGCTTTACCCCCACTCAAACATGAAAGTATTACTTGAATGGTTGGCAAAGTGTGTTGATGCATAACAGTGGTTGGGTTTAAAAAAATGTCAACGAGTAGTTGGCATACAGTCATATAGAGCCGTCTGGCTTAACTACTGGCACTACCAGCGTAGTCCAGTCTGATGTTTCAACCTTTTCGATTATATCTTCCTTTTCCAAGCTATCAATTTCTTCATCCATCAAGGCCTAATATTCTATCCTATCTGCCCTATTTATTGAGGTCTAATGTAAATTTATCTCTGAAAGCAGTTTGTGACCAAATATTGTATCAAAGTTTTCTTTAACTGTATAAAGATTTAAGTTTTTATTTTGACCTTTATATTCTACATTAACTGTAGTAAATCCTAAAGGTATCCATTTTTCTCCATTACATATTTTAAATACTAGATTTGTATTTTAAATTTTATTTTTCGAAATTTGCCAGAAATTTTTTAAACTCATTACCAATGGTGCACCCCTGTGTTCATTTTGTTTGTTCACCGCCGACCAGGCTTCCGTCCTAAGGTGAAACCAATCGGAATTAATACCTGATCAGCGGGTGTAAAATCTACTTGTACAACCAGCAGCTACCATAACTAGGTAGACTACCAGATCAGCAATGCTTATTTTGTACCAGCCAAAGTAAATTGTTACAAAAAAAGGATATGTATCAATGACATCTTTGCACTTTGTGCGACATATATACAAATGATATATTACATAATCAAAATTTGCATACGAGAGCTAAGCAATTACAACTGCTACCTTCAACCATATTTATCATAAAATCGTGAATTCTTGAATTCATATTTTGTTCTTAGCTAGTTGGGAACGGCCACACACTTGAATCCCAGTCAAGGCAATTAGGTCATAATTACATAAAAAATGCGGTCACTATTTCAATTCATTTTTCATAAAGTCTAAAAACCTAAGCAATTAACAAATTATCGAATTTCATTATTCATAGTTAATGCAAAAAAACAGAGCAGTAAAATTTAATTCAAAGAACATTATCTATTTATAATAATTCTTATCTATCTAAATCAATTCTTATCTAGGGAGTCATGTATCTTAATTATAGAATAAACGCCCTCCTAATTAACATATTCCAGGTTGAAATACATTATTCTCAAAAACTAAAAAAAGAAAAACAAACAAATGATATAATAATAACATTTAGTTTGCTATTTTCAGACGTAGCCTTTAACTAAGAACATAACTCTTTTTTAAAAACAGGGGAAGCAAAAGACTTAGAAGTGTGACAAATGTTGTACTATGTGTGTGTTTCTAAATTTGATCTTAAACAGTTAATACAAGATGGACCCTCTTTACAGTTCAGAACTAAATTATTATGCATATGAGCGCAGTGAGAGTAAAATAAAGAATTTGTACAATTTTGAATATGGTGGCCAAAAGCCTGGCAACCATAGCATCTTAAAATTCAAATATATTTACGAAAACTACAAGAATGAAAACCAACATAAACGCAACCCTTATGACCCAGTAATGTCAATGTACCAGTAATGTATAATGTTGCTTTTAGATTGTTTAAAAGATTACAAAGTCTTTTAGTATCTTTCCTGGATAATTTTAGAATTTCTTGATTTTGAATTTTGGAGTGA